TCCAACAGAAGTTCCAAAATTAGTAACAACCAATTCCAGCAGCTTATTACCAGGCTTAAGGGCAGCCCAGAGCTTGTAAATTCAGTAGATGACACAATAGATATTTCTAACATGGCACAACTGTCACTTTAAGATATGTTTATTATGTAGGAAGCAGACATATGGAATTGTTTTGTCCTTTGAAGGGAACACAGGTAGTAAGATATTTATCTTTAAGTCAATGAACTACTCACAAATGAAGGTTCACAGTTGAAAGATGATGTTAAGTTTCTATACAGATGCTGCTGAAGGGATGATGGGTCAGAATGCTGATTTGTGGCAGAAGTTAATCAGGTAGAAATGAACACAGAACTTTTACTCACTGTATCAGGAGGCACCTGTAGCCCAAAAATATCCCTAGAGTCAGATGATGTGCCTTGTGACACTATTAACTTCATTAAAAGCTGGGCCCTCATTTGTTTTCATATTAGCAAAGAGACAGACTCTGCTTACAAAAGCTTAGCAACATGCCAGGCTAGGTGGCTCTCAAGAGGTGTTAAACAGATTATTGAAATTGAAAGATGAAGTTGTATTTTTGACAGAGCAGAAATCTGGTTTTGTTAAATTTTTTCACAGTAACTTGTGGCTCTTAGAACTGTTATTTGTCAGGTAATTTTGAAAAATTCAATGATTTAAATATGGTGCTTCAAGGATGTAACTGGAAAATATCTGTTAAAAGATAAAATTGAAAATTGTCTTTAAAAAGCTAACATATGGAATAGAGTATTAAATGGCTCTTTTGAAATGTTTACAGCTGCAGATGATATTGTAATTGAAAATAACCTTAAGGATTTAATTCTTGTGGGATGGTTTTTCATGGTTTTTCTGGGACACTGTCTCAGTGAATTGTGTGTGTGTGTGTGTGTGTGTGTGTGTGTGTGTGTGTGTGTTGTGAAAATATCAAGCACTGAAGGCAACAACATCCAATGAACTATCCCATTTATATAGCAAACAACAGGTGGGATTAGACTGATGACATCTATTTGTGGTTGTGTGTGCTGTTCCAGGTCCTTTGGGATCATAAGAAAACCCTTGCTTGGTTAAGATAGGTTCCTCATTTCTTTCCCACTCATGCTGGATGTAATGTTTCCATAACTATAGAGGAAGTCCTTTGTTCCTGGAACAGTTATGAGAGAAATCAGAAGAAACAGGTTCTCAGAAAAGACCAGACTCCCTACTGGTTCTAATCAATGCCAAGTGGTCAGACTGCCTTTGTTCAGGCATTGCCTTCTGTGACATCTCTCCCCCAAATTCTAAAAGTTCAACTGATTATCTGAAGTTCCTGGAGACACAGTTTTAGAAATACTTCTCTCAAATTTTGAGTCTAAAAAAAACATTTTGGGGGTTTTGTAAACCACATTCAATTGAAATAAAAGTCATCAATCACCTGCCATTAAAAGTTGAAGAAGAATGTGCTGTTGGAATGACACAGGTTTAAAACTTAAATTTGATAAAAAACAAAACATTAACGACTGGTTTGGAATTAGGACAGAACTTCAAACAATTTCTGAAATGGTCCTAACTATACTTTGTAATACATTCTCAACACTAGTGACTATGAAATCAAAATCAACCAGCTCTGAAAAATAGGCAAGATGACTCAGTGGGTAAAACCAGGCACTACAGAGCTGACAACCTGAATTTGATCCTTGGGACCTACATGGCAGGAGGAGACAGCCGACTTCTGCAAGTTTCCTCTGTCCCCTACACTTGAACTGTGGCACGTACAACAACAAACATGTACAACACACAAACACAAACACACAGAAATAAATTTAATTTAAAAAATTTAATAAACATCTTTGGGGACCAGAGAGATGGCTCAGTGGTTAAGAGCTGTGAGTGACTGCTCTTGCAAAAGACCTGGGTTGGGTTCCCAGCACCTACATGGTGGTTAACAACTGCTTGTAACTCCAGTTTCAGGGGATCCAACAGCTCTCTCTGGCTTCCATAGGCATTGCATGACACAGGTGCACTTACAAACATTCAGGCAAAACACTCATGCACATAAAAGAAAATTAAATAAACATCTTTAATAAATGGTCAAATTGTATGCATACCAAAGAACTGTTATAAGTAAATGCTTCATTTGTATACCTATTTTCATACTTATATGCATACCTAGGGTTGCACTAAAATATCTGTGGTAAAAAGGGGTTACAAGTGGAAAAGGTTAAGAAGCCAGGTACAGATGGTGCCATTCTTCCCTTCTGACAAAAACATGTAAGAGTGCTTTTTGATTCATTTTTTTTTTATTCATTTTGTTTCTAACAAATATTGTTCACTTTATTTTTCTAATATCTATTCTTTCCATCCCATCTCACTTCATAACTCAATCTAGCCCGTTGTTATGATGTGATGGTTCACAGACTGTCAACTTGACAGGATCTAGAATCACCTAGGAAACAGGCCCCTGGGCATGCCTGTGAGGGATTATCTAGACTAGGTTAACTGAGGTAGGAAGGCCCTCCTTAACTGTGGGCTCCACTAGGGTCCTGGCCTCAATTAAAAAGGGGAATGCAAGATGACCACTGGCATCCATTATCTCTCTGATTTCTGAACGTGGATGCCTCAAGATCCTAATGACATGAATTCCCTACCATGATAGACTGTATCCTCCAACTCTGAGCCAAAAATAAACCTTTTCCTTCTTTGAGTTGCTTTTGACAGTATTTTGTCCCAGCTATATATAAGGTAACTTAATACACATGGAAATCAGTATTTTACAAACTGTGTTGTGAACAGTTTGTGGGTGGGAAATTACCTTAGCTGGTCATGAACAGAACTGGAAAAGGCTGGGGGAAAATATCAGGGTATCTGGCATAGCAAGTGTAAGGACAGTGTGATTAACAGTACTTCAACTTAATGTGTGTATATCGAGTGTATGGGGTCACAATACAAAATCTCTGCAGTATATAGCCAACAAGTCTGAAAAAATGGTAAAGACAATGGGAGTCTCTAGGCCAATCCCTTTGGAAACCTTATGGATGTTAAGATTTCCCTCACCAGAAGAATACAAGTTCATAGTCCTTCACACCACAGTGCTTATATGCTAAATGTCAAAAAAATAAATAAAAAATTAAAAACATGCTGTCAGTTCAAGGACTTCTATGTGTGAATCCCTGAGGTCAAATTTCTGGAGTCCATTACATATAACTAAAAACATGGAAAGCAGTAGTCCTCCACTTGTAATATACCATCTAAATCTCCTACCTCCACCTATATTCTACCCAACTTCTAAGATCAAGTACTATTCCACCTTTTACCCAATTTTTTTTCGGCTCCAGCGTTTATTGTGTAGAGGCAGATTTAGCTAGGATTCAGGATTAGACTTCTATTAAGTCCTAAAATTTTGTGTAGAGGCCCACCCATTTTTTTCTAGAGACAGTTTATAAAAGATTTTAAGAGGATACAGTGGGTCTTAGAAGATCACTTATAGTATGTGGTTTGTCTTTTCTATTCACTGGGGTGGGAAATGCACACTGCCACATAAACAGGAGCTATTTCCGGGTTGTCATTGATTTGTGTCTCCTTCCAAACCTTTCTTCCACAATTGTAATAGTTCTAAGACACGATGAAGCTAGTTACATTTACTATCACAGCCTCTTTTTTTTGTAATTAATACAAACTTCTTTAATTACAACGAAAGCAACATTTAAGCAGCTTTTAAAGCCAGTTGAGCGGTCACACTGGAAGCAGTAGGGAGACTCCGGCCGGCCTGAAGTGTGAACTTCGGTTGCCTCCACCACCCTTTGACCTCTGGTATGACCAGAAATGGAAAACTACATTGTATCCAAAGGGTCAAGCAGCACATCAAAAGGTTACTGGACACACTAAGTATATACTGTCTTTCCTTTATCTCCTATAGGTCTTTTGTTTTTGGATACATTGTTTCCCTACGCAGCACTGCCTGGCAAATACGGTGCGGTGCCTCAGCCTCCTGAGTGCTGGGATTTACCGGCATACGTCCCCACGCCTGGCTAAGTCATCCAACTCCTGTTCTTTCTCAATATTAAATGGCCCACAATATGCTCCCACTTTTCTGCCTTCCCTGAATCTTCCTTAATCTATCTGAATCTTTGTCTCCCAAATTGCAATCCCTAACACCCCCAAACAAGCTTCATTTTATCTTTGCAGTTTGATTTGAACAGATCAACAATCTCTTTCCGATGCACCCAACTGGACACATAAAATGTAAAAATAATCACCAACCGGGAAAACAAGCAGACACTGTTCAAAAAAACCTAAGTCCAATGTATACTTACAACTTCGGGGGCGGGGAGGGAGCGGAAAAGACCCTGAAAGGATTTAATTTCAAGTCTTTTTTTTTTTTTGCTTCTCCTTTCCAGTTATCTTACAGGCTGACCTACTTACTGAAGGTTACGGGACAACAGGACAACACCTGCACCTCACAAGATGGTATTTGCTTGAGTTGGAGGCAGGGTTTTTAACAAAAGAGCTACTGGCAGCTCGGATGTGCCCAGGGCATGAGGACCCTAGGCCGGCTTCCCCCCTAGATCGAAAGGCAGTGGCTGAGGGTCCTTAGCAGTGAAACGAGAGCGAAGTGCAGGCGGAGGGCCGGCACTCCGTGAGAACCATTCACGCGGGTCTGGGTCCGCAGCCCGGGAACAGGGTCCAGGCCGGCTGCCCCGAGTCCCTGCATCTCTTGCACCACCGCGCGCGCGACCCGGGGTGGGGGAAGCGGCGGCGCCCAGACGGAAGCTCTCCCTGCGGGTGAAAGGTCAGACTGGCAGCAGGAGGCTGTGCGGGAGACGACTGCGCGGGAGGAGGTGCTGCGGGAGGAGTTCACCTGCCCGGCCGCACCACCGTCTGGGGCTCCCAGCTCTGGCCAGAACAGAGCAGCCGCCCCCGCGACCGGCGCTGGGGCTCGGCGGGCTCCAGACTGAGCGGTCGGCGGGGCGCGGCGGTTGGGCTGGAGGGACCTGGGCACCGGCACTTACCGCGCCTCCCCGCCGCGCTGCTCCGGCCCGCCGCGGCGCTGGGCTGGACAGGGGTGGCGCTGGGGAACTGAGGCCCAGGGCCCGCAGGAGCTTTGCTGGGTTTATGTGTAGGCGGGGGTCAGAGTTCGTGACCCCTCCCTCGGGCTCGGCGGTGCGGTTCGCTGCGCGCCTGCGTCCGGGAGAAGCGGCAGCTCACCCACCGGCGGTGACGTTCTCAGGGCGAAGTGGAGGGACCCGGAGTCCAGCCGCAGTTCTGGAAGTCGATTGCCCCCTGTAGGTGTGGAGGGAGATGGGCACGCCGGTGCCTCTCGGCTGCCTAAGTCACGTGGGTTTAGCACCAGGCTTGTTAAAGTGGTCCTTGGAGGCCAAGAGTCTCTTGGTCACACCGGGAAAAGAGGGGCAGTGAGGTTCATTGTAAGGATATAGCTTAAAAGACTACAACAAAGCTGGGCTGGAGAGATGGCTCTATTGTTAAAAGTAGTACTGCTCCTGCAAAGGACTCAAGATCAATTCCGATCATTCACGGAGGTGCACAACCACCTGGAACTCTGGCTCCAGGCCTCTGATACCCACAGACATAAAATGATAATTAGAAATACAATATAATGGGTTTTGAGAGGGTCTCACCGTAGAACTCAGGTTGGTCTTTGAATTCTTGATCCTCCTGCCTCCACTCTCCAGTGTGAATGGAAGTTTCGAGCTGAGACAACGCCAACCTAATTGATTTTGGGCAGATGTTTCTAACTACTGGACTTTGTTCCAAGCACTCTCTTGGATTAGTTTGGAGTCTGAGTAGATCCCAAATCACACAAAACTTCCTAGAAATACAAGCTGAGGCAGAATCATGTAAAGTTTATTTAGTTGTTTTGAGTGGAGATGGCTAAATGAAACAAGAATACAATCCCTACTGTTTGCATTGTCAAGCGCTGCTTTTTATCCATTTTGCTAGATAGTGTATTTCTAAAATCTTAACAGTGCCCGCTGGTCAATAAAGATTTGCAAATGGAAAGGTCACTAATGGAACATCATGTTCTGACAGTAGCCACCTGTGACAGGAAGCCCTGATCTGTGTTCTAAATACTGTGTGGTTCATTCAGAGTTGTGACCTGGAAATTTCCTTTGTACCAGGATCAGCACTGTAGAAAAGCAGCCAGAATTAGGAAAAAAAAAAAAACCTTTGTGTGCTGGGCACACAGTCCCAGTGCCACATGCCTGTAATTCTGGCACTCAGGAGGCAGAAGGAACAGGAGGTTAAGGTCATCTTTGACTATATAGTGAGTTTGAGGCTAGCCTGAGGTATGTATCTACATATCTAAAAATATTGCTTTCATTCCCCTTTGGAACTAAATACTTGAACACAGGAAAAGGGCATGCAACCATCCCTAACACTAAGACTATGTTTCATGCTTAGTTCTTGAGCACAGGAAAAGGGCATGCAACCGTCCCTAACACTAAGACTATGTTTCATGCTTCGTTCTTGAGCACAGGAAAAGGGCATGCAACCGTCCCTAACACTAAGACTATGTTTCATGCTTCGTTCTTGAGCACAGGAAAAGGGCATGCAACCGTCCCTAACACTAAGACTATGTTTCATGCTTCGTTCTTGAGCACAGGAAAAGGGCATGCAACCGTCCCTAACACTATGTTTCATGCTTCGTTCTTTAACACAGGAAAAGGGCATGCAAACTTCCCTAATGATAAGACTATGTTTCATGCTTCGTTCTCCAAAAGTCTACCAAAGGCGTCATTCTTACATGTTTGGTAACCTTAAGCTGGTCCCAAAGGTGAAAGCTATGAAAGTACACTGTGACCAAGGGGAAAAGGTAATTGCAATGTTTTCTTTATTCTCAGTGCATAATACAAATGCCCAAAGGGATGCTTATGGCTACCTTTTCATTCAATTAGTGCGCTTAAGTCACAGTAAGTTCACTTACTAAAATTGGATGGGCATGCTGGCTCATGCTTATAATCCAAGTACTTGGTAAGCTGAGGCAGGAAGACTGCTGCAAGTTTTAGGCTAGCCTGGGCTATACATAGTGAGCTCCAGACCAGCCTGAGTTACAAGGTAAGACCCTATCTTAAAAATAAGTATGGGGCTTGGGAGTTGGCTCAGTAGCTAAGAGTACTTGCTGGTCTTGCAGAAGACCCAAGTTCAGTCCCCAGCACCCACATGGTAGCTAACAACCATCCAGTTCCATGGGATCTAACATCCTCTTCTGTCCTCAGTGGACATTGCAAGCACATGGCACACAAATACACGCAGACAAAAGTCTCATAAAATAAATATTAAAAAAAAAAGTCAGCCTTGGAAGTAGAAGCCACTTTGGGAACATCATTGTAGGCAAGAGTCTATCTTGGTCACTTCAGGAAAGGGGGGCTTGTGAGCTCATCTTTAAAGATATAGCTTCAAAGACTCCATCAAAGCTGGACTATAATTCCAACTACTAAGGAGGCTGAGACAGGAGAACTGAAAACTGGAGGCCAGCTTGGGCTACTCTGTGTCAAAGTTTGTTTTTTTTTTTAATGAATAAAAGATAATAAAAGACTTCACACCAGCAGAAGATATTGTAAATTTATTTTGTATAAATAACACATATTAACATTATTTACAATGCTAATTTTAGTTACAAATGATCTGTACATAAACAGTAAGATACAAACTACTACCACTTTAGGTAAAAAAGTGTTGAGAAATACATTAAAGTCATTTTAAAAAATAGTATTTCAAGATCAGTCCCTACATGTTGCAACTAACTCCTCTGAAAGGGCTTTGTGTCCTCTTCATTCCTTCCCCCCACTCCAAAGGAAAAAGAACATTTTGATATTTAGAGTGTTTGAAAATCTACTACCTTTATATTTAAAAATATTTCTAGTAGGCATGACACTAAATAAACTTGTTTTCTTAATTTTCTTTTTCTACTATAAATTCTCTCTTATAAGGGAAAAAGTCGTAGGTTTTCATTTAGAAAATAATATTGAAAGTGGCATAGGCTCCAGCATGGTACATGTAGTGAAGATATTTTTTATAGATCTGTAGGAGATACTCAATTCAATAAGCAAACACTGAATAGTTACTGCATGCACGGGCACTCTTGCCAGATATGGTGGGCAAAATCTCAAATGGACAGGAAAATTGTTTAAGAACAGAATGTGGTAAGAATCATGAAAGCTTGTTTATGAACTAAAGATCATAGGAACATTGGAAAGAGACTGGGGGTAGTCTGAAGGAACAAAGGAGAGGAGGACCAGGATCCCCTCTATCATCAAGTGTTAGAGAATGAAGAGGCAGATGGGGCTGGGGTGAGATGAGGGGAAAAAAAGGAAATAGTATGAACAGAGAAAATTTGAGGTAGGTTCAGCTGGAGGATATGGTACCATTGGAATTGTTCCATGCCAAACCACTGGGAATGCCCCTGGCATCTGTAAGAGCAGGATTAGAATTATGCTTTAGGCAGATTGCTCTGACAAGGATTAAAACAGACCACACAAGGGAGGCACTGAAGTCGGGAAAAACCAAGTTTTTCTAGTGTGCAGGATTGAACCCAGGCCCTCATGCATGCTAGGTGAGTACTCTGCCATTTCACTGTACCTCCAGCCCAGAGGAAAAGCTACAGCAATCACAAGAATGACTAACAATAACAGTAGGGGAATGAGGATAGAAAGCATACAAGAGCAACCAGAGTCTGGAGGAGATCTGGAGGCAGATTCTGGAGCCCTGTGTGGTATCTTTTTAATACAGAAGCAAACAGACTTGAATGGGAAGAAAGCTGAGTGTTCCTCATGCAGGAACTTGAGTGAACATCCATTAGGAAGCTGCTAATATGGCCTTGCAGTATGGTGGGCAGAGGGAGTGTAAGATCTGAGTTAGAATGAGGGCTTTAGGGCCTATTGGAGTTTGTAATAAGAGTCCTGTTACTGAGCTAGGCAGAGTGGTACAACCTGTTAGTCCAGCAATCAGGAGACTGTGAGACAGGAGGAGCTTGAGTTCAAGGCCATCCTGTGTGAAATAGCTTTACTATCTCAAAAAACTACCATTAAAAAAAAAGGCAGAAAGAACTTTGGGAATCCCGTCCTCTGTATTCAACTGAAATGAATAAACCTTTTCTCTGAAAAGATCCAGGGTACTGTCATGGGAGATCGAGATAATAAATACAGTATCTACCCTTAAGGAGTATACAATCCAGTAAGGGGATCTACATCTCTGGAAATCCCAGCATTCATATTTGTCTACCATGGATCTCAAACTTTCAAAAGCTGAGCACAAACATGTCCCCACATGCTGTGACAATGACATCTGATTCCCAGATAGGAGGCTTCCTCCATTTCTAAAGACTGTACTAACTATATCTGTTGTCTTCCTTACTTTGTAGTGTCATTACATCTTATATGAATCAATTGTGGTCTGATGATCTCATTTTTAAAGATGTTAATAAATACTTAGAAAATCAAGCTTGTGGCTGTAGGAAAGAATGGCAACCAAGGGACAAAAAGATACTGGTTACAGAGGAGAATGGGAAGAGGTTGCCAAGGGGTTCAAAAATGTGGGATAATGATAAAAATCACTCCTCATTTTCTTAGGACTTTTTGGGGTCCTCTGCACTGAACAGCTGCAGTTCAAGGAGGAACACTGGTTGGGGACTCTACAAATTCCATTCCTCTCTAGCTCAGCCTGCCATCTCTTGTCCAGGTGACTTTCAAGCTTAGCCTTATAACTGCCCTTTCTTACAAATAAAAGGAGACATCTGAAAAAAAAAAAAAAAAAAAAGGTCTGATGGCAGTACATATATCTGTACCACAAATAGTAGTCCTGGGACCACACAATATGGTATGTTCTCCACATGTATACTGCACTATTACATTCTTCCCTGAAAATTATTAGTGATGAATGTAGCTCAGTGGTAGAATGCCTAGGGACCCTGGGTTCAATAATGTTTTTTAAAAGTAAATTACTGATCAGTTTTAGTAAGTTATGAAGGACTGATAAAGGAGGGACAGAGAATGAAATTTTATTCCACATTTAAATAATTTTATGGGGGACAGGACCTCATAGCTTGTAGATTATATTTTTATATTTTTCCAAACTTTGCCTAGGGGTGATTGACAAATATAATCATATAGGACTTTCATCATTACTTAGGGAGAATTACTGTTTGTGCTAACTTCTCTTTATGTTTTTAGATTTTGAACTGGTTCTTGATTCTGCTGTTAGCAGATAGAACCTGCTGGCTGATATTTTTTTAAGCAAATCTTGAAGAGGTTGTGAGTTCAAGAAGGACAAAGCACCCCAACAACTTGTCTTCTTAAATGCCAGAAAACATAACAGAAGGAAATAAAAAGTATAAATAACTTTGACCTCCAAAGGAATATACTACAAACATCACAAAGAAGTCACAAGGAAAACATGTATGTGATTGTGATTATAGTGAGCTGCTAAGAAGTACTAATCTACCTACTATGACAAGGTAACATGCAGGATTGTGTGAAGCTGTACAGGCTGTAATCGATGCCATAGCCAGAAAAAGCCAAGAAAATTACAGATGCTACATTTAGACCTATTTATTTGATACAAATAGGATCTAAAAGGCCTCCCAGAGGTGATCTGGATGAAAAAGAAATAGTATTCAGGATAAAACTCTCAACTACTGATGCCACACTGAATTAAAATCATTATAATTCTTGCATCCTTTATAATCATCTTAACTCCATTCTTCTTTTGCTCATTGATAATTTTATGTACAAGGTGGTTTATATATTAAGCAACAAGTGCACCAAAAACATGAATATGAATCTTTCCTAATGAGGGACACTGAAAATTAAAGAAAGCAAAGCCAGGTGTGGTGGCATACATCTATAATCCCAGAATGTGGGAGCCTGAGGCAGGACAATTAGCTTAGGCTGCATAGAGGGACTGTATCTCAAAGGGGAGAAGGAGAAGTGAGAGGAAGGGTAGATTTAAAAAAAAATCAAGGAAGACAAATCACAAAGTAGTAGAAAAATTTCCGTCAAAAAAAGAATGTTATATAATTTCAATTAGCAGTGGCAAGAATTAGTGCTTTTCAGATATAGCAATTCCAGTTCCTTTTTTTAAAAGTATAGCATTAAAATGTAACATTCTGTTTTAGATATAAATACTACCACTGACTTGGGCTGAGACCTCATAAAAATAGTAGGGGATATTGGGTAAGATGTCACTTGCCTCATTTTACTATCTTAAAATGAATCATACTGGTTTGGGGGCATATACCCATAATCCCAACACTTGAGGCAGATAGACTGCTATGACTTTCTAGACCAGCATGGGTTATATAGCAAGTTCAGGCCAGCCTGGGCTATAGAGTGAAGTCCTGTCTCAGAAAACCAAGAAAAGATTTTTATTTATGTTTATGTTGAAGTGGCTGTTTTAAATAAAGAATGGACATGCTAGGTGTGGTGGTACAAGCCTGTAATTCAAGCAGCTCAGAAAGCTGAGGCAGGAGTACTACAGGTTCCAGGTTTGCCTGAGCTACATAGTTAGCTCAAGGCCAGCCTGACAATTAGCAAGATCCTATCTGAAGGAGAAGAAAGGAGAAAAAAAAAAAAGCCAAGTCAGTGGTAGCTCACTCCACTAGCAAGTAGAGGTTTAATCTCCACTACAGAAAAACAAAAGACTTTATTTAGTGAAAAGTCCATAGAGTTCATTATATATATCCACCTGTGAACATGAACGTCCTTGTTTCTATTCACAGGTTAAATTCAGGTTTGATGATAATAACTTACACACCTGGAGAGAAACAAAAAGTATACTATATATCTGAAGTGTACTTTATATAATCTGCTGAAATTTAAGTTACTGAGGTAGAAGCTGGCTATGTGTCTTTTATTATGACATAAAAAAATCCATCTAAGTTTAGCGATTGAAAAACATGCATTTTATCAGAAATTTTATAATAATTGTAATTTCTAAACCAAGCACTGCATGGAAATTCGCTCCTTGATATGTTTTTCACTTACAAAGATTTACTAATCGTGAAAGTGTCACAATGTAAGGCAGAGACAACAGTGTGGATGGTGTATCAAATAATTTGTACAATATACAGTATTAAGGTAAGTTTTCTGGTCTCTAAACAGTACTTTAAAATTCAGTGAGTCTCAGAAATAATTCTGACCAGTAAGTAAACATCAAAATTTTAATAAATAACATACATGAAAACCAGACATTTAAAAAGAACTGTATATACCCAACAAAACAATTTCTGTATCTAGTGAAGACTATGAGTGGATTTATCTTGGCAGTGTTCATTTTCCCACAATTTTTGAGTAGCTTTTACTCCATTCTTCTGACTATCCACCTTGTTGAAATCACAGGAGAGATGAAGCCAATACTGCTACAAGGTTGTGCCTTCCTGAAAGGCTTCTATCCACCTATCAATGAGAGATCACTGTTAAGATTGTGAAATTTAATCATCTGACACATGTGAACATGATACAGATAACTGCTGTGCTGTGGACTGGATTTACCCTAACAGTGTTTTTAAGGTCTTTCCTAGCCTAAGCTGGAGTTCTTACTATATGCAGGGAACTACCTTTATTTGGTAATTTGATTCAAAGTTTGGCCTGAAAATTATCTCTTACTTCTTTGCAGCATGAGGAAGGGACTATCTTCCTGTATAAAAGTCCTAGGGCCAGTGAGGTAGCTCAATGGATAAAGGTGTTTGCCACCAAGCCTGACAATCTTAGGTCAGTCCCTGGGACCCACATGATGGAAGGTGGGAACCGATTTTTGCAGGCTACTTGACTTTAGAAGTGGCTATGTCAGTAAAGGCCTCTATTACAACTCCTTTCCTCTCCTTTCCTGGTGTTCTGACTCAGTAATTTTTAGAAACTAGTTATGTGTCTGTTTCTCTCCCTAACTCTACCAACCAAAATCCCCTTGTATATTTCCTAATCCAGACTTGTTCCAAATTTTTCAATAAAGAGGAATTGGTCTGGCATTTAGTACATGTTAATATCAAAATTTTATATGCAATATAAACGCTTTTCAAAATTCCATAGAAGTCTTTACAAACTTCTTTGGTGTCAAAAGTTTTATCACACAGCTGCAATTACTCAGAAAATGACTGGGGGCAGCCTCTTTTGCTCTACTATACTGACTGCTTATGAACCTACCCTGTCCCCTTGTTACTGAAATACAAGTTCTACAGTAATATATTATGTAAAGAAAAGATTCAAGGGAACTATGAACATTTGAAATCACTAAAGTTAAGAGCAGCCAGTGCAGCCCATAACAGAGTAAGCTCAAATTTCAAGGACAGAATTTTCAAAACTTCAGATTTTTAGATGTAAATATCTTTACATCAAGGCTTTTCAGTCTCACAATTTTCCATTAAAATGAACACATTTTAACATTCAATCATATAAAAAAACACATGTTATATGGTATTAATCCAAAGAGAAACAAACATAGGTTAAACTGATTCAATTCTAACTTACATGTAAGCTGATTTCCTTTATCTGACTACATTTAATTTTCTCTTGACATTTTTATCTTGTTAACTTAGCAAAAACTCATGCACACTGAAACCCAATTTTATCAGTTTGAGGACAAATACAGATAAAAATTATGAGGAAAATGGTATTTGGCAGAATCTTAGAGTGATTGTTATTTTTGTCCAAATAATTTTTACAGAAAAGTAAAGTAACATAATTTTAAAATACTCTTCAGAGCCAGGCATGATGTTGTATGCCTGCAATTGGGAGGCAGAGGCACAAGAACTTAATTTGAGGCTGCCCTAAACTACATAGTGAGACCCTGTCTCAAGGAAGCAAAAATAATCCTTAATACCCAGAAGGAATTATTTAGACAGTTATACATTGCAGCATATCCTAAAACAGACAGGTAGGGTGAGCCTTACAACTGTACCTATGCAATTCTAGAACATTAATTCTAACTGCCTAAGAAGCTACCTGTCTTGCTTATACTCAAAGCACTCTCTTGTATTACAAACACTTTAAAGCCTGTTGAGAAAACACGAACACCTCTCACTGAAAGCAGCATTTTGTGAGCCAAAGTAAAAATCAAATGAAAATAAAGGCAAGTTTAATTGTCTTGTCCAGAAGGGACCTGGATGTCACAGAAGATACCTACCTTGATATTAAACAATTTCATACCACCTAAAGTTAAGATTCTTGCTGGGATTTTGAAGACTGCTTCAAAGGATATCTAAAGGATATCTCAAAGGATATCCATTTCCTTCTACGCAGTCACTGGGAACAGCCTGTGAGCCTCTTAATTCCCTTGACTTTTCCCACTAGCTAAGCTGTTGCTTCACCTCCTGCTGGTCCATAACACAACTGAATCACTGCACTGCCAATGTCTTGGACTGTTTCAGGGGACCCTCACTGAAGGAGAGGTCACATGCCTGAGCTTCCTTTCTTTCAGTGGTGGAGCACCATCCTGAGGTCATGTGAAGACAAAACATTTTGGACGTCACTACCTATTTTCTTTCATCCTCTATATCCTAAAATTCTCCCAGATACCCTTGTATTGTTTTATTTTAATTTAAAAATAATTATTTTTTATGTGTATGAGTATTTTGCCTGCATAAATATAAGTACACCCATGTTGTACAATGCCCACAGAGATCGAATCTCCTGGAACTAGAGTTATGGATGGTTGTCAGATGCCTTGTGGGTGCTGGAAACTGAACCCAGGTCCTTTACAAGAGTAGCCAGTGTGTTCTTAACCATTGAGCTGTCTCTCCAGCCCCCCTTGCATTGTTTAAAAACAATTCCAAGGCATTTGAATAAATTAAATCTTTCTTTTTTGCTTTAAAAAATTTTTGTTTTATCTGTATGAGTGTTTTATATGCATGTATATAAGTGCACCCATGAATGCTATGCCTGAGGAAGTCAGAAGAGGACGTTGGCTCCCCTGGAGCTAGAGTTACAGATAGTTGTTAGCCACCATGTGGGTGCTGGAACCAAACCTGAGGTTCTCTGCAAGGGCAGCCAATGCTTTTAACATCTGGGCCATCTCTCCAACAGAAGATTAAATCTTGGATCTGTGATTTAAATTCTGAGTTGTCCGGTTCTCCAGCATTCCTCTATGCTTTTAAAATTTAAAACAACAGCTTGAAATTTCATGTATGAAATACTTACTTCTGAGCTGAGTGGGCGTCATCTGCCTTGAATACATAAAATAACATGCTTTTGTGCAGTAACTGAAACACTCTTGACTCTGAATTCTCATCTTTGACTTGAGTGACAGTAAAACCTAGTAAAGGCTGACTCTCCAAAGCTGCCACATCCTAATTTAAAAATAAATAATGAAGATGCATTTTTAGATGGAGATAGTTCCCTTTGAAAAGCCTTGATCTACATAGCTCTATTTCACACACACACTCACACTCACACACACACACACACACATTGATGGTTCTAACAACTTATTTTTATTTATTCAGCAATGTGTCACCCACTCCCAACCTGCCAGTTTTCAATATGTAAATTTCACATTATTTTCAGATGATGATCTTGCTTTCATTGTATGGATGAAGGAAAAATAAAATTTAGGTTAAGCAGCTTACCCTACTCCTACTGAGGAACAGCATGGACTTTAGCTTGGACAGAGAGGGGCGGGGGGGGAGAGAGGTGTATTGATTGGTTGTGTGTGTGTGTGTGTGTGTACTGATTGGTTGTTAAAACAGGGTCTCACTCTATAGCCCAAGTTGTCTAGGAATTCAATAAACAGCCCAGGCTGCCCTGAAACTCAAAGTGATTCTCTGCCTGATTCCCTGGAGGTTGTTTTTTCCTCCCTTCCTTCTTTACTTCCCTCCCAGAATCATGTAGCTGAGGCTAGCCTTACACTCTTGTAGCTGAGGTTGGCCTCACACTCATGTAGCTGAGGCTGGCCTTGAACTCCTGGTCCTACTGCTTCTAATTTGAAATGCTAGGATTATAGGCATGTGCTACCATGCCCAGCTCCCCTAGAAGTTTTCATAGGCTGTTGGGACACTGATCAGATGGGATAAAAGGAAACTGTTTATAGCTCAACAAAGCTGATCTTATGTGTGCTCACCCCTCATTAGTACAAGCTGAAGATACCTTGAGAGACTGGGAGAAAGGAAAAGTAGTTCTGCCTTTTGTAAAGTAGACAGTAGCCACATGACACCAGAAAAACTTGCATTTTAAGACTGTGGGAAATTCCTAACACTTGAATAAGAGCTCTCTAGGAACAATACAAGAACACTGTTCACACTGTGCATGGTGGCTCACACTTGTAATCCCAGCACTTGGGAGCTGAGGCAGGAGGATCGCTGTGAGTTTGAAGTCAACTTATGCTGCATGGTGCGATCCTGGGCTACAGGGTGAGACCCTGTCTCAAAAACCAAAAAGCAAAAAACAACAACAACACCTCCCCATGTCAAAAACAAAGCAATAAGGGACTGTGAGTTTGGCTTAGCAGAGAACTTCCTAGCATGCCCTAGGTTCATCCTTAGCACTACAAAACACAAAACCCTTGAACAAAATCCCCCAATTAAAACTAGACCCAAAAATCGCTCTTAGAATTCACATCTTACCTCGCTTGCAGCATATGTATAGAGTATTTTATTTTTTATGACAAACCACAAGTGTTTCCACGGTTTTTTATTGCCCTTGGATCTGTACAAGTAACCACTCATAGTAGAATCTTCTGTGTTTGCTGATACCTAGATGAGGAAGTCCCATGCATAGTTTAATAGTTTTCAGACAAATTTTAAATAACAAAATAAAACAAAACAAAACAAAAAACAAAGTTATAATCACTGTGTTGAAATCAGTAACCACAGCAACAACAGAATGTTTTAGAATGACACTGAATATTTTCAGTCTGTTATTATACAATCTAAATGTTGCTATTAGCATAAGTATGAAAGCCAATTGTTCTTAACATGATTTTATTTATTATTTTATGTGTATAAGTGCTTTGCCTGCATGTATGTAAGTTCATCACATGCATGCAGTGCCTGCAGAGACCAGAAGAGGGTGTCAGATCCTCTGGAACTGAAGATATAGATAGGTGTAAGCTATCATGGGGGTGCTAGGGATCCAACCCAGGTCCTCCGCAAGAGCAGTGAGGGCTTCCAACGATGAGCCATCTCTCTAGCCCTCCAAACCTACTCTTTTAGAAGCAATTCTAACATCTTTCTGGTTTAACTGTTCTTATATGTGTTTGTGCTTGTGTGTATATGAGTTTGGCTATGCCTCCTGATTTGCTAAAAGAGAAATAACCCAAAGTCTACAAAATGTTTTTCTAAAGCCCCATTTGGGGACTATATATGTTATCTGTTGCTCTTCTTACCCCCAGGTGTAAGGAGACTATTACATAAACCTTTAACTTTGGGTCTGAAATAACTTTTTGGATTTATGTGTTTGTGCTTGTGTGTATATGAGTTTGGCTATGCCTCCTGATTTGCTAAAAGAGAAATAACCCAAAGTCTACAAAATGTTTTTCTAAAGCCCCATTTGGGGACTATATATGTTATCTGTTGCTCTTCTTACCCCCAGGTGTAAGGAGACTATTACATAAACCTTTAACTTTGGGTCTGAAATAACTTTTTGGATTTCTAAAAACCAACAAAATAGTAAATAGAAACACTTTTTTTTTTTTTTTTAAGACAGTGGCAATCCTCCTGGTGCTGTGATTACAGAGACATGTAATGCCTCGCCTGAAAATTCTACTACCAATGGAAGTGACTTAAAGTATCAGTCTTTGCTCCCCAAATTTTGGTCTAAACTCAGCTTACTTTTCCTTCATAAAAAGTTCAAATGGCCGGTTCAAATGCCTATTTACTTTTGCATAAAAAAATTAAATCTAGATGGGTATAGTGGCCCATGCCTTTAATCCCAGCACTCTGAAGGCAGAAGCAGCTTTGTGATATCAAGGTCAGCTTGGTCTACATAGTGAGTTTCAGGCCAGCTGGGACTACAGGGAGACTCTGTCTCAAAGAGACACAACATAAAAAAAAAGAGGGAGAGAGAGATGGGTCTTCCTCTGTTGCCCAGCCTGGCCTTGAACTACTAGGCTCCAGTGATCCATCCTACTGCCTCAGCTTGCTACAGACATGTGAGCCGTCATGTCTGGCAAGAAACTCAAAGTTATGATTATAAGTTTGGATTCAGAAATTGAGAAATGCAAGAAACAGTTTATAAGTAGTCTCTAAATTGGCCTAACCTGTTTTGTACGTAACTACCCAAACGGTGCAGATGAAATGACAAAAACAATACTATGAACTTTTCCCTTCTGGTAAAGAGCGCCTTCAAAATAAATTTTAAAGATTCATGTGTGTCTAGCTTGTCTTTACTTTCTATGATTGCTATAAACTGTTTCCCAATCCTTTCAGCAGCCAGTTTCTAAGTGACTCAGGCCTTCAGGGAGATGGAGCAGGATGACAAGGCAGTCGCCACATCAGTCACAGTATTGGAGGAGACAGAGTGGGCGTGGATTTGATTAAAACACCTTATATGCATGTATGAAATTCAATAAATTATTTTTTTAAAGTTAAAAAAAAGAGAGAAAAAAAACTCATAATAGTAATGGAGAATGGCATCTTCCTTTATAAAAGAGAAGCAGTGTATTTCAAGCATATGAATAATTCAGTTTCTTCAAGTCTAATGGAAATACTTACTTCTTTGAGAGCAGCTGGGATTTTTTTCTGTTTCCTCCCAGACGGGATACTATGTAAGACTGATGATAAGGCACTTGAAGGAGATTTGTGATTTCCGGGAGATCCAATCCTAGGTGACAGCTGATGATCTAAAACAGATCAGGAACTCATGGAGCCAATGGTAAGCATTCTGCATTGCAACTTAATTCAAATCAGTAAACAATGCCACACAAAACTTCTGTACTGACGGAGGAAAGAGGGTGGTATGAATGGTGGCAGAGAGGTGTGAGCTGGAGCATCTGTTTACAGAATAATGAACATTGGGGGGGTTGTGGTAGTGGTTCTAGAAGCCTGGAATGTGGTTTAGGCTCTTTAGGATGGGGAAGGATACGAAGAGACTGACTTTCCTTCCCTCTCTTTTAAAAAGACACTCTCACTCTGTAGCCCAGGCTGGCCTCATGGCAATCCTTCTGCCTCAACTTCCTGAGTACTAGGATTGCAGGTATGAGCCACCATGCTTAGCTCTAAATCATTTCCTCTGTTTCATAGTTTTGTTTTATGTGGTGGTGTTGAGGATCAAACTTAGGGATTTGGGCATGCCTGACAGGTACTTTACTACTAAGCCATGTCCTTACTACCAGACTGAATTTAGAAAAATAAGCCTGACAGTAGTCATGAAGAGGGATTTGCAGCAGGAAATTATTACAGTAAACTAAACATAATTAAGGTTGACATGGACAAATCAAAACAAGTGAAACTTTCTGAGATAAAATTGAGATTTACTGACCCAAAAAAGGTGAGTGATGATAGAATAGATTCAAAGATAAAGTTTGAATGTTTACAGTTCACACTAATGTGCCCAGATAACAAAGGTGGGAACAGAAAGTGGGAAAAGAATAGATAGATGGGTCCTAAAATAATACACAAATAACAAATTAGTGATCTATTAAAAACAAGGATACTGAAATAGCATGTCATCCAGTTTTATTTGCATAGATAATCCTACTTGCTAATAAGAAGCCAGTTTTCATGGCTACAAAGGACAATATTTTTAGAATTTAGATCCTACAGGTTTCAGAAATTTAAAGATTTCTTCCCAATATATAGACCCTAGCAGTCCACCTACCTTATTCACTTTGTCTGCAGGCAAATAATGCTTGCAATACTGAAGAGGCAGATATGAAATACCATCTTGTATGTTTAAAGAGCTGTACCTGCCAGGAGTGGTGAGAACACTTGGAAGGCTAAGACAGGATTAAGAGTTCCAGGCTAGCCTGGGTTACACAGGGAAATGCTGTCTGAAGAAAGCCAATCCAAAAGGTACACCTTTAAATGTACGGTAAAATCTCACTAAATTGATCATCCAAGGAACTCAAGGAATGAAGGTCACACCAACAAAGTGCCAGTGAGTATGGTTCCATGCAGAATTACCTTGCAGATAAAATATTTTGGGGGCTTGGAATGTAGTTCAGTGGTAGAGCACTTGTGTAAAGCTCTGGGTCTGGTCCCTAGTACCATCAATAAAAGGAAAACCTATTTCAAAAAACAAAAATTATTTGCAATGTGTACACTGCTGTGAGAAACTAGAAGTTTCAAAATGATTTGTAAAAGTTTCCTTCTAGCTGTTTTAAACACTTTGTATATTTCAACAATTAGTTTTCTTAGCAAAACCTTTTCACAAAGTAAAAGCAAATTTCAGTCCAATTTCTCTTGCAATTACCAGAGAACTTGAGTTAGGAAAGCACAACTTAAGAGACAAGCACAGCAGTCACTGCAATCATACCAATGGCAATTCTTTCAGAAGGCCCAAAACTTCTGGGGAGGAAGGGAACTTTTGGTTAAATGCTTGCTTTTATCTTACCTAATTTCTGTAGTTCTTGGAAGCAGTGCTCACATACTCTTGCCAGCTGCTTTTTCAGGTAATCTAGGCCGTACTTATTCGATGAACAGGCTTGGCACACGATCTGAAAACACATTGCAGTTATTTCATTTAGAAAAACTTCTGATTCCAAACCATAACAGGATACAGACCATTTTTCAAAACAGTTTGACAATCACTGAATCCAACCTCATGGAGTCTAGATATGTAGTGAGCTAACTCACAGGAGCACACTTGAAAAATAAAGAGGCCACAAGTAAGTACTGAGTGCTCACTTCCTAACAATGTACTTAACAGTTACTACCTGCAAGTCTTTAGAACAGTACTTAGTATGTAGTAAGTTCTGTCAGCTGTACTGACCATCAGCCTCATCAGAATCATCACTGCTACAGCAGTGACCACTTCTCTGCAACTCTACCAAGTTCTGGCTCTGTAGTAAATGCTTCTAGAATGGGTTCCTATGCACAGTTTACTAAAGAAATCATGAACTCTCATATTTGGATCCGAAATATCTTCTAAAGACTCACATATTAAAGTTACCCTACTTAGGCACTACTGAGAGGTGGTACAAGCCTTAAAGGTAGAGCCTAGGTGCAAGAAGTTAGGTCATCTGGTGGTACCCTCAAAGAGGACTTGAGGGTCATCCCCTCCTTTTTCATTCTCATCTTTTCTCTTAAGTTGATTTATTACTGGGAGTCGTGGTACATGTTTCTGATCCCAGCATGCAGGAAGATAAAGCAAAAGGATAGTGAGTTCAAGATCAGCTAGGGCTAGAGTACAGCAAGACCACGGCACAGAAAACAAAACAAAAGAGAGGAGAGCTAATTTATCTCAGCTATCTGTTATGGTAATGGAAAGCTGACAGAGCTTAAAAGTCACTGTGGATAATTTGAATATCGAAAGATCCTCCTACCAAGTACTTACTATCTACAGAAAGATGGTTTAAATAATTAGCTATAGAGTCTATATAACCATGGATTTGTTGCAGACTTTTTGGTTGAGGTTTTTGTTTGTTTGTTTCCAAGACAGGTATCACTGTGTAGTCCAAGCTGGCCTTGAACTCACCATGATTCTTCTGCCTCCTGAAGGGCTGGGATTATAGGCATGTGTCATCATGCCTGGCTTAGTTTTCATTTTTGAATGAAAGTTCACTATTACTGCCATAATAAAGTAATTGTGGGATGGAGGGTGTAGGAGGAAGATTCTCTAACAAGACTCCCTCACCCCTAAATACATAGACAAGACAACATCCATGTTTTTCACCTCTCCTGTTTTTTCCTGTTTTATTACAGTGGTTTCTGAATGGGAAATGCTTCCTCACTGTGCATAGCCTGGCAGCCGTAGAAATCACAATTGGGACAGGGGTTGTCCCCTGACCTTTCCGCAGGCCCGGCAGTGGTGTCTTCTCCAGGTCAGAGTAAATTCACTTGTACAGATCATACACATGGTGGCTCTTGTATCAGGAACCCAGATGGGAGCCTTTGATCCAAGGGGACTAACTTCCTCTTTATTTTCTGAGTCCGCCTGTGGAAGAATGACTGCTGATTACCTTGTTGCGTATTGCCTATGGCAGAGTCAAGCTTTTTAGTGGGTGGTAGGGTCTCACAGTACAGATGGAATCATTACGGAAGTGGAGGAAAAATGGGCTATTAAATGTTTTGCACTCTCAGGATCTTAAGATTAGATACATTCAAAAAATTCTGTTGTGAAATTAACTTTAAAAAATGCTATGGTACTAGGATGACAACTGATTAGTTTCTTCCTTTAACTATTTCATACTTCCTAAATTCCCTACAGTGAAAGGTGGGGCTAGATAGCTAGGTAGGACACATGCTTAGCATGATTAAGGCCCTAGGTTTGATCCCTAGCACCCCCCCCCACGTAAATAAAAATTCCCTACAATGAAGCTTATAACTACAAGTACGCACATCCTTCCTCCAGCTCATCTCTGAAACATAGGTTGCTTTTCTAAACTCCTGTGAATCAATTCCTTGCTGTTAAAAGAAAAAACTGAAATCAAGCACTGAAAAAGGAAAGAAGGAAAACACAATACCTCATCAAGACTCCTGCTAGGGCAGAAGGTAATTTTTTTCTTGGCATACTCTTCTATTGACCTGGATATGGCCTCCAGCCATTCATCCCTTTCTGTGGCAGAACTGTTGGGGGCAGAAGGCTCCATCAACCAGATGTCAGCTTAGACTCTTTGTCTTTTTCTTTTCTTCTTTTCCTTCTCCCATAGCAACCAATCCCACCAACCTCCAACACCGCCAGTCCAAAGTAGTGACTCTGAGGCATATATACCCATGGCATTTTAGCAAAACATGTCTTTTTGCTTTCTAAAAGTATTACTTTACATTAAACAGCTTCTGGAGTCTCCTAAACATCGAAGAATTTTTGCTAACTAGGGTATTTATTCCAACTATATTTATATAACCAAGGTGTTTCCAAATATATATCCTAGAATTTAAAAAAAAATAGAGTTATGTTTCAAGTACCACTTTATAATATAGAATCCTAAATACCTTTAGGGTATTAAATATTCCTACAAATGCCTAAAGTCAGGCATAGGTGGCATACAATCATAATCTCTGCATTTGGAAAAGCTGAGGCAGGAAGGTGGCAAGTTTGAAACCACCCTGGGGAAAATTCTGTCTCAAACACCAAAGTTTTAGAAAAGCCAGTGAGGTGAAGAAAACCCATTTTTATAGCCATAAACCAGATGCTAAAGGAGTAAATAAAGGAAATTACCCATGGAGGTTGTGAGGGCTCATCTACTATTTAGCCCACCAAGTTTTCTGTTCTTATCCCTTGCTCAACAGAAGCTGTATTTAACCTAACTCTAGCATGAATGGGGCCAAAGGGCATTCTTGTTCTGAATGCCAGTAACCATGTCTCTCCCCCAAAACTCTGTGGTTAACTCTCAGTCATCACTGATGTCAGGACAGTTATAAAGTCATTTAAAAATGTTTTGCATATTTAAAGCTTCCAGGCATATTTTGGGTAAATATAAATACATATGTAATTCTTTACATATGTAAAGACTGTAACAATAAGCATAAAACTCTATTCAGGGCTGGAGAGATGGCTAGCAATTAAGAGCATGTATGTACTGCTCTTCCAGAGGAGCCAAATTCAGTTCTCAGCACCCATATCAGGCAGCTCACAGATTCCTGTGACTCCAGCTCCATGGGGATCCAAAGCCTCTGACCTCCATGGGAATGTACAAAGATACACATACATAATCCAAAAGGAAATAAAATCCATAGTAATGGGAAAGGAAACATGTAAGAAAATATCTGTATATTTTGGAGAGGCATACTCAAGTATGTAAAATGACCTGGTAGGGGGAGGGTTTTTCCTTAAAAAAATTTTTTTATTCTATATATTTATGTGTATGAGTGTTTTGCCTGCCTGTATGCAAGTGCACCCGTGCATGCAATGCCTGAGGGGCCAGAAGAGGATGACAGGTTCCCTGGAACTAGAGTTACAGGTGGTTGTTAGCCACCACATGGATGCTGGGAACCAAAACTGGGTCTTCTATATCTAATGGTCTTAACCATTGAGCCATCTATCCAGTCCCAGGAATTCTTTTTAAAATACTTTAGAAAATTGTAAAACAAACTGGGAGTTGTGGTGTACACCTTTAATCCCAGTACTCAGGAGACAATGGCAGGTGGATCTCTGTGAGTTGGATGCCAATGCAGTCTCCAGGCCAGTCAGGGTTACATAGCGAGACCCTGCTCCCTGCCCCCTTCCCCCCCAAAAAGAGAGAAAAAAACCTGTAAGACAAGAAAATTGGTGATAATGCCCTGATGGTTTCTTCAGTTCATTCTATTATTCACTCTAATTTAAAGTATAAACGATTCCATCAGAAAGGAACAAAATAAAAAGAAACAAAATTCTGTTTTAAATTATGATCCATGAAGGCATAGGTTACTGCTGCTTTGTTTTGTTTTTGTTTTCCCTCTTGCAGGGCTGGGGCTCAAACCTAGGGCCTCAGGCATCCTAGGCAAGTCTTATACCAATGAACTGCTTCAGCCCCAGTTCCCTTGTTCTTGTATTTTGAAGAGCCCAGACAGGGTCACGAAGACGCTACCGAAGAGATGGTTCAATGGTTAAGAGCACTGGCTGCTCTTGAAAAGGACCCAGGCTCAGTTCCCAGCATCCACATGGTGGTTAACAACCATCTGTAACTCCAGTTCCAGGGGATCTGACGCCATCTTCTGGCCTCGGTGGGCACTGCATGCATGTAGTACAATTACATGCATGCAAAACACTCATAAAATAAACATTTTCAGTAATGTATTTCCCTGCTAAATATTATTTAGAATATTTACTCATATTGATATAAAAAGGTAGCTATGTGCTTACAAATAATATTTTAAAATATATTTCCCAAATTTTCATTATGTACAAAGAACAAAACAAGAGATAACCCTTTTCTCTCTAAACCAAACAAAATCTGTTACCTCTACTGTTCTAGCATTACTGCCAATGCTAGCTGCTAATTAAGTTATTACATGTCAGCCAATGACAGTAAATGCTTCCTAAACACTGTCATACTTCATCTTCAAAGCTGCCCCCTGGCATATACATTCAATCTACTGCCATACACTCCATTACCAGGCATCATCACCATTTGCAGAAAGGAAACTGGAATAGCAATGCCAGTTTACAGACTACAGGCTGCTAAGTAATGAGCTGATAAGAGACCGAATGTAGTGAAGGGTTGGGCCCTGCACCACCAGGTCACTACCATCTGGTTTGTGTTCTCTGAAGAACTATACAGTAAGAGCACACACTTGGGCTTCTAGGCAAACATTCATGAACTATTATTGGCTCTCCTTCTATCCCCCACTTTTTACTAGAAGTAACTGAAAGTAGAGAGGCAGATGGCTAATTTGAGAATTGCTGTTAGATTTTTCTGGAGCCCTGGGAGCATGTGGAATGTTATTTGACTGTGGAAATCATGTCACATATGCTGTTCTTTTGTTTAATCATTCCTGGCTCTCTCTTGTGTGGGGTTCTGCCAAGACAATGTTTACCAGCTCTTGATAACACATTTTTCACAGATCACACACATTTGCTTGCAACATCTAGTGGAAACATTTTAGTCCCCCTTTTGTAACACAATTAGCAGACGAATCCACGTCTTCCTTCAACTGAAAACCTCATATATATATATATGCAAAATACCATTTTCCCCTTGATTGGTATGAATTACTGAAAGAAAAGTCATCTAATTGAAGGGAATTCTGGTATATCAGATCTTGCCACACCACTATTTGGGCTGATTGTGGGATGCTACTCTGACACATGCCTGTGAACATTTACTGGGTGATTACTAAGGGTTAGGGACTAAGCTGAGAACCAGGCACACAAAATACACTTCAGTTACAAGGGTTCATACCTGATACAGCACATAACACATGTATTTAAGGAGGGAACTGTCTTGTTTAGGTAGCAGAGCAAGCTTGCAGAGGTGCTGACAGGAACTGTTACAGGAGTCACTAAGGAACTGCATGCAGTCTCTCTGTACCCTCATTCAGTCTCATGGTTTTGGTCATCCTCAAGATGATGACATCCATGTGTAAACTTCAGCCCAAGCTTCCTTCTGACACTGACCTACTCTGATGGCTCCATGTTGACTTTCCACATGTTCAACATGCATATCAACCCCTGACTTCTCCCCAAACTGCTCTCTGGGTGCGCCCTATCACACAGAATGGCATTAACACCCCATATACTGTATGGACTGTGGACACCTGATGAATAACCCTTTCTTTCACTCCCTGTGTTCAATTAATCACCTCCTCCCTGGGTATAGTCCACACAGGAGTAAGATTCTCTTAGCACATTATTCTCTGGTATAAACCATTAGGTGGCTTTCCAGAAATTATTATTCTAAAGATCAAAGCTCAGAAGGTGGTTCTGTATACTCTCGCCTGTCCTGCTAAGCTTCTCTTGGGTCACTCTCCTCATCACTTTCTAGCTCATGCCACATTGCCCCTTCAGTTCTTTGAATATGCATGTCCCTCAGGACCTTTGTAGTCATTGTTCCTATTGACCACAAGGCTCTTCCTTCCTTTTTGCCTAGTTATCAGTGCCTGCTTACCCTTCCTAAGTCAGTGTACACTGCAAGCCTTTAAGGACTATTTTTGTCCTTTCTCCCTTACCTCTACCTCCCTTAACAGCCTAATAAGAATTGGTACTTTTCCTGTATATTCCTTAATTACAATAATACTTAATCAGGTTAATAGCTGCCAGGTATATGTCTACCTTAATGAAATGTAAGTTTAGTGATGGAAAGGCACTTTGATGCCTAGCACAATGCCTGGACAAGGGTTATATTACTTTCTGAATAAAGAGAGGCATTCCAGGTAGAGCAACTAGGTAGGAAAGGCAGAAAGATGTGGAATAGGCTAGCATGCATGTGTTCATAGCTTGAAGCCAGGCAATGACTTCTCTCTAGCTATCAAAGTCCTAGATGGCAGCTTCTATTAAAGGAAGGCTGCTTAATTTACACTGAAATATGTTGGTTAGCACAGCCACCTTCATCTATTTCCTGAATAACTCACTGCAGCTTCAACATCAGCACTTACTGCTTTACTGCATAAGCTTGCACTCATACATTATGGAGATATACCATAAACCTCATGAACCAAGCTCTACTGCAGTGGTGTTTTTACCTCTCTTGACTTTCAGAGAAGTGAAGAGAAAAGGGTCTTATTCTGGATTAGACTTTGGCTGAAGATAATGCTGTGACTGGCTTGATTTTCTATCCAGACCACTTAAACTTTCCCTATACCAACAGTAAGTCTGCTTCTCATTCATGTATTCTCTGCAATAGCACGTATAATTGCCTTCCAGAACTTTTCCTTTCCATTCACAGCTTGGCCAACTGGCTCAAGAGGCCTAATTTTCAGCCTGTCTAGGCTTTTGACATGCCTTCCTGATTAATCTTGATCACTTCTAGCTTTTGATTTAAATCAAGAGATGCATAGCTCTTCCTTTTACTTGAACACTTACAAGCCAGTGTAGGGTTTTTAATTGGTTCGATTTTATTATTAAGAAAAAAGGGAGGATACGAGAAAGGGATAAATGAGAGGAAATAGCCAGTTTGAAGTCAGAAAAACAAATATTTACCAATTAAGTTCACTATTATACACTATATCATGCTCACAGTGCATGATACCTACCTCATAAGTTACAAACCTTAAATGATATATGAAATGTTTCTAGTAAGAGATAAAGTACTAATTGTTTTTAAACACATTGTATTCTACTATAAAAGTATTAGAAATACTGTAAAAAATCATCAGTATAGTACTTTTCAGCATTATTACTTTATCTAGAGGAACATTTTTATGATCTGTCATTTACTTGCATAGAATCAAGAGTACACTTTGAGAAATAAGTTTTGGGGGGGAGGACATGAAAAATCTATCAGTTAACATAAATATTGAAAAAAAAATTAGAGCTATCTGAGCCTACTATTCTGGCAAAATGTCATTTTAATGTGTGTGTGCACATAAACTTACCTGGCTGAGAGGATGAAAGAACGTTCCACACTTTCAATCTTTAATTCATTCTGATACGCCTCCTGGGTGGGTTTTCTGACCTGGAGGAAGTTACACCTATTTGAGCAAATATCCTGCTGGAAATAGTACCTGTAAGCAGTAGCTGGGGTCGCCCAGAGCCCCTGGCTACTGATGTCCAAACAGTTTCCTCACTCAACTTTACCTACTACCATTCTCTCTCATCTACTCTATGTTCCAGATGAATTTAAATACCCACATGCAGGCCCAATGGTCCCATCTCCCCACCTTAGCTCAAAACATTCACTCCACCCAGAATGCCTTTTCCCAACATCTCAGCATGCCGACTTTAATTTATACCTTGTTTCCTAGCTGTCTATCAAAAGCTGTATGACAATATTTCCACTATGTCCATCAAAAGATATGTGTTATTTGTTTTCTGAACTCTTAAAAACTATTTTTTGTTGTTGTTATCAGCTATAATCCTTACACTGGGGAGGCTAGACAGGAAAACCTTAAAATTAAGGCCAGCTTGGGCTATGCAATAAGGTTGTCTCAAAAAACCCCAAAACATTTGAATACAGTGATTCACACCAGTAATCTCAGCACTCAAAAAGCTAAGACAGGAGTATCACATTGACTGCCAGGTCAGCTTGGGATACAGGGGGAAACTGTCTCAAAAAAACAAAACAAACAACAACAACAACAAAAACACAAAAGCCAGGCATGGTTGCTCACATCTGTGATTCCACCACTTGTGAGATTGAGGAAGAAGAGATCATGAGCTCATGGTCAGCCTTGGCTACATAGTCCAGCCTGGGAAATGAAACAAAAACATAAACCCAAGACAAGCTTTATGAGATAACAGCTTTGACTTACCACAGCCTCCAGTGTAGCTCGAATTAAAGGCATGTTCCACCCACCTCCCATCTGTCTTTGGCTCTGAACACCAATTTTTTTTTTTTTTTAAAGACAGGGTCTCAAGTAGCTCAGGCTGGCCTTGAACTCACTATATGGTTGAAAAGGTATCTGAACTCCTCATCTTCTTGCTTCTACCTCCCAAGGGGTGTGACTGTAGGTATGTGCTACCACACTCATCTCTGAAATTTTTTAACTGTGCCTTTACAGTGATATAGATATTATGAGTAGTGTATATCTTTCCAAAGAATTAGTTAAGTCTTGGGGTGCCGGGAGGTTTGGGAAGAGGCAGAGAGAAAAAGAATCATCTTTCAATTCATCCTCATAATTTACTATTACTATTGTTCTCTATAGCAATTCTCAGCAACTGTTCCTTGAGTAAATCAATGCATGAACAAATGACATGAATAAACAAACATAAGCAGCAGCACCAGAAACAGAAGCATTAGTGATGTGAGGAAGGTTATCTTAGGGATTCTTCTCAGCATATATAAATATGCTGGGTTAAAAAAAATTCTAATAGGCACACTGACCTTCATTCCAGCCAACGAGAGCATGTTGTTCAGTTTGTACATCCCAGACTGCATGGGTGTTGTATACAGCAGGGCATCATTAAACTGAAAGTAGAAATATATCACATGACCACTTATAGAAACTAGTTTCGGCGACAAAGGTATCAATAAGAAGAAAAAAGGAAAAATATTACCTCTCCATTAGAAAATTTCTAAAGAAATGTGCTTCATTTCCAAGTCTTACTAGAGATTTAATGTTTTATGGATTCTAAGTCTCATTAAAGTATTATAATCTGGCTGAATAAATAGTTGATTAAAACAATTCTTCTAAATTTTAAAAGAAATAACTATATCCTAGAAGAAAAATTTCTGATCCATCATCATAACAGATCTCATTGTCTATGCTTGAATGTAAATAAACAATATGGCCAGTGTGCTGGATAGCTTTAGTGCCAACTTGACACACCTGGGTTGAGGGAGCCTCAACTGGGGAATTGCCTTCATCGGACTGGCCTGTGGCCATGTCTACGGGGCACCTTCTTGACCGTTAGTGATGTGGAAGGGCCCAGCCCACTGTGGATACTGCCACCCCTGGGCAGGTGGGCCTGTGTTGCATAAGAAAGGAGGCTGAGCAAGGACCAGGGGAGCAAGCCAGTAAGCAGTGTTCCTCCATGGTCTGTGCTCCAGCTCCTGCCTCTAGGTTCCTGCCCTGAGTTCCTACCTTGGGCTTCCTGACGAACTGTAACCTGGGAGATGTAAGCCAAATAAACCTTTTCCTCCCCAAGTTGGTTTTGGTCAGAGTGTTTTGTCACAGCATGAAGAAACAAACTAGGACAGAAATTGATACCGGAGAATGGGGTATTGCTGTGACAGACTTGACCCAGTTGTTCTGGGGAGGACTGTGGAAGTGTCTGGAACTTTGGGCTGGAAAAGCCATTGAGTGCTCAAGACTTTGTTGCTATGGAGCTTGGAACAGTTCTGCTGAAAAGAGTTGTAGGCAATGGAGGCCTGGCTTGTGAAGCTTCAAAGAGAAGTAGAGACTATCAGGGCTGTTAGTGTGATATTTTGAATTTGAGAATCTGTGGGTTCTAGTTGGCTGGGGCTGAAGAACCAGCTGGGATTACGAAGAGACCAGAACCTGAAGTAAAACTTTTGCTTTACTGGGACAATTGATACTGGTTAGCTGGGGCTGAAAAATCAGCTGTAAGTAACAAGAGACCTGCATCACTGTGGTGAAATCTTCTGGGAGGTATTTCCTCAGTTAGCACACGGAGGGGACCCAAGCCTCTATCTCAAGCTGGAAGCAGGACTTGGTAATGTGTAAGAGTCTCCTGCATGGTTCTGGTGTTGAAAGGGTAAAGGGGTCACAGAGAGCAGCTGAAGCTTGGCACTCTGAGAGGCCAGAAAAGGCCATAGTGAAAGTGCAGCTTCAGTTGCAGTGAAGACCCCAGGACTGAAGGGGTCATGGAGAGAATCTGAGGCTTTGCACCCCGAGAGGCAAGAAGAGGCCATTGGTAAAGGTGTAGCCTCAGTTTCAGTGGAGACCCCGGCTTTGTGGAGATGCCAGAACCATGGGACAACTACCCATGGACAGCAGTAGGTGTGGAATGGAACTGGCCTGGGTCTGCAAGATGAGCTGTATATGCTATGGACAGCAGAATCAAGAGAAGTGGAGCTGCCAGAACCCTTTGGAGTACAGAAGATTGTGAGTGAATCCCAGGTGTCCAGTCTTGAGCTACTTTGCTGGACTTTGGTTTTGCTTAGGTATGCCTAATTCTTCCCTTTGAAATAAGACTACTTGTTTTGGATTTTACAGAAGCCCACCCACAGTTAGGAACTAGAAGCTGTTATACTAAGTGAGTTAACACAATCTCAGAAAAAAAATCGACATATGTTCTCCCTCATATGTGGATCCTAGGATCAGACTTTGATA